GTGTGTGTGTGTGTGTGTGTGTGTGTGTGTGTGGTGTGTGTGTGTGTGTGTGTGTGTGTGTGTGTGTGTGTGTGTGTGTGTGTGTGTGTGTGGTTGTGTGTGTGGTGTGTCCAACCACATTATTTGATTCATCATCAGTAATAACACCCTTAAATTTATCACATATCTGTAAAATTAAACACTATTAAATTTACCAGAATTAAAACCAGCAGTTGTAAAATACAATGAAGGAATCTATTGAATGGATAGCATTAAAAGCCAGCCATGAAACTCTAACTAAACTGAGAACAGCAGAAAGGAAAATCACAAGCATAAATTACAAAAGAATTGAGAATATTAGTAGATAAGTAGCGAGCTATAGAAAAATATATGCTTAAAAAATGTGTTAGAAAGACAAAGGTCTATATCAGTATTCCGAAACCTTTTCCGTTCTGTGGCTCCCGACCAATGTATAATCTTCATGGACCCGTTCGGATTCAAAGAAAACGTGTTAAATCACCACGAAGAGGGGTGACTGATACTCGTACACAGGGATTACATGCTTCTTAATAATTCAGTTGTAAGTAACGCATATATATATATATAATATATTAATATATATATAATATATATATATATATATATATATATATATATTATATATACACACACACACACACACACCACACACACACACACACACACACACACACACACACATATATATATATATATATATATATATATATATATATATATATATATATACATGTACATACATATATATATATATATATGTATACATATATATATATATATATATATATATATATATATGTATACATATATATATATATATATATATATATATTATATATAATATATATATATATATATATATATATATATATATATTATATATACACATATATATACATATATATATACATATATTATATATATATATATATATAATATATATATATATATATATACGCCACACACCACATATATGTGTATGTGTATGTGTTGTATGTGTGTGTGTGTGCGCCGCGTCCGTGTGTGTACATGCGTGCGTGCCTGTGTATGAGTGAATGTGTGAGCCTATATAACCTCACATGCATAAGTATATGTACCAAAACCACAGGTAGCGTCCACACACACGTATCTCTATCCATTCCCTCCCCCCTCCCCCCACAGTACTACTGGTGCTACGAGGGCGTGCCCCACCTGGAGGTCTGTCCGCCGGGCACCGTGTGGAACCAGGGACCCCACATCTGCGACTGGCCTCAGAACGTCGACACGTCCAACTGCAACATGCCAGCCCGCGCTCCCAAGCCACGTGCAGGTTCGTTCGGTTCTAGAGAAGGTTATGTGTGATAATGATATTTAATAATGATGTAAGGGAGGATGGGGATAATCCGTTATATGGGATGATGATGATGATAGTAGTTGTGATAACGATTACTGATGATAATAGTAGTTTGAATAATGATAGTGATTATAATAATCATGATAATAATTATGATAATAATAATTTGGAAATAACATAATAGTAATGATGATGATAGTAAAATGATGATAATAAAAACAATAATGGTAACAATAGCAATAATATCAGTGATGATAATAATAATGAAATGATAACACTGCCAATAATAATGATAACAACAACAACAACAACAATAACAAAAATAGCAACAACAACACCAACACACACACAGGTCCTCTCAACCTGGTCCGCGAGAAGACCAGACACCTGAAGGGCGCTCCAGTAAAGGCCAAGAGCAGGTCAGGTCCAATGGCCACCGGAGTCCGCGTTCCCCCTCTCCTGCAGAAGGCCATGAAGGAGATTCCGTGAGGGAGAAGGAGGGAGAACCCGTGTCCTGGAGATTTGGGAGAGTTTGAGAAGGCTGTAGCAATTATGTGATTTTTTTTTATTTTATGTTTTTTTATATTCTAAGATTTGTTATTATTATTATTATAATTTTTATTATTATTTGTTTTTGTTATTATTATTATTATTATTATTATTATTATTATTATTATTATTATTATTATTATTATTATTATTATCATTGTTATTATTATTGTTATTATTATTATTATTATTATTATTATTATTATATTATTATTATTATTATTATTATTATTATCATTATTATTTACGTCACATTATTCCAAGTAGGGTTTCTCAGCCTGGGGACTAATAGTGGAAATAAAAAATAATATGATTTCGATTTAAACTGGATTTTGTCTAACCTACAGTATCTACAGGATCTCTCACATATCAATAAATTGGAACATTTCCATATAGTGTTCTTGTCCTATAATTATAGTAATAACTGAATCAGAAAGGATGGCAGACACTAAAAGGGGAAACTATTATATATTGGTCGAAAGCCTCAATTAAAAAAAAAGTTAGGAGCCATTGTTAATTGTTTTATTCTCTTCGGATTCGATGCATGAGTAAGGTGTGTTGATAAAAATGAGAATTATGACTGAAGTTTATCGTTTACAAACCTGTCGCTCTACATTGGATTTGATCAATATGTTGCAAATATAAGAGGATCCACAAGACTATTTAAGTGATTATATAATTAAAAATAAAGAAATAAAAAGGTAGCAGACCGCAGTCCTCATAAGAAACTAATTACAAACATAGGCCTAAAAGAAACTGAAAACATGCTATGATACAAGGAGCTTTAGGTCCGGTTTAAATACGATAGGCCTATGCCATGAAATTAATTATCTTGGACGATAAAATAACACTATTCGAGCCAATGATTAATTCTGAGAAAAATAGGCATGTCACTTGTATCCACACGTGTACATAGACATGACATCATCAGGTAGATATGACGTCACGCGTAGTAACACGAGGGAGAACGGGCCTAAAAGTGACACATTTTGTTCCGGTTCGTAAAAATAAGTTTTTATTTCATTCTTTTTTATCTTTACCTTGATATTTTTTTATTACATTTGTTAATTCTGTTTATAATTTAAAAGAAACTTTACGTATGATAGAAAATCTAATTACATAACGAAGGGGAAACAGGAATAAAATAAGAGAATTGAAATGTTAATGATAATGGCTATTAAACAATAGTAATGATAGTTAAGACGATAATGATACAGTAATATTGTGATGACAGTCATAACAGTATCATATAAAATGTTTATAAGACAACAATAGGTAATGATATAAATTATAATAATCGTCAAAATCATTTTTACAATAAAAGGACAAATTATAGTAATAAAATAATTTTAGTAACAGAATGATAAAGATATTAATATTATTAATGAATATTAATATTAATTAATATTAATTATTAATTATTAATCACTGGTATTAATAGTGATAATGATAAGAATAATGACAATGATAATTATGACTACAATAGTAACAACAAATAGAACAAATAACAATAGTGATAATGGTAATAATGATAATGATAACTGCAATTATAATTATAAGAGTAATAATAACTATGATGATAATAATGATGATAATAATAGTTATTATATATCATATAATAATATCATAATATAATAATAATAATATTGATAATGATAATGACAACAATGACAAAAACAGTAACAGAACTAATAATGATAATAACAAAAATAACATTGACAATATTTGTACAAACGTCTTTACATTTGAATTGTTCTAACTTCCAGGGATCTATAAACACTTGTTAACACACTCATTCAACCAAACAAACGACCATCGCAGAAACAAACCACATTTTTCTTATTCCCGACATCAAATTGTGACAAGTAGCGGTTTTATGAATGAATTATATAAATCGGTTTTACGTCAAAAAAGTCCCTCTCAACGTGCTTTTATTGGACAGAAGAAAAACCGTTAACCTAAGTGGCCTTCCTAAGAACATCGGATAGGGAGGGAGGGAATGAGAGAGAGAGAGAGAGAGAGAGAGAGAAGAGAGAGAGAGAAGAGAGAGAGAGAGAGAGAGAGAGAGAGAGAGAGAGAGAGAGAGAGAGAGAGAGAGAGAATAGAGAGAGAGAGAAGAGAGAGAGAGAGAGAGAGAGAGAGAGAGAGAGAGAGAGGAGAGAGAGAGAGAGAGAGAGAGAGAGAGAGAGAGAGAGAGAGAGAAAAGAGAGAGTGAGTTAGAGAGAGAGAGAAAGATCCCCTTGGCAATAATAATCAAATAAAAGAATAAAAAAAGTCCCTCTCTCTCCGTGCTTTTATTGGACAGGAAGAGACCGTTAACCTAAGTGGCTTTTCTAACGAACTTTCCGTAGGATTCAAATTCTCGCTGCGTGATCTTTGTTGTCACTCAGTTGCTCGGTTTTTATAATTTGGTGATAAACTGTTCATCATTTTAAAGAGGGAGAGGCGAGGGAGGGAGGGAATGACAGAGAGGGAGGGAGGGAATGAGAGAGGGAGGAGGGAATGAGAGGAGGGCAGGGAATGAGAAAGGGAGGGAGGCGAATGAGAGAGAGAGAGAGAGAGAGAGAGAGAGAGAGAGAGAGAGAGTGAGTTAGGAGAGAGAGAGAGAAAAGAGAGAGTGAGTTAGAGGAGAGANAGAGAGAAGGGAAGGAAGAGAGAGGAGAAAAGAAAGATAAAAGGAGAGAGGAGAGAGAGGGGAAAGAGGAAAGAAAGAGGAAAGAGAGAGGGGAAAGAGGAATGAAGAACGAGGAAAGAGGGAGAGGAAACATGAGGAAGGAAGGAGGGAGGGAGGGAGAAGGACAGGGAGAGTGGAAGGGAGGAGGAGGGAATGAGTAATTTATATTTTTTCTGTTATCATTGTTATCATTGTGTGCAAATCTCACCACACGAAAAAACACACAAACATTCCTAGCCCAGCCAACCCAGATAACAACACATCTGTCCCTCCACATACCAACAACCATTACTCAGAGACTGTATCAACCAATTCTCTGTTTAGATCTGGGAATGATCCCCATATTGAGACTCCCTGCTCAGCCAAGGAGCACACCTCACTCCTTTAAATCGCAGATAAACTCCATAATCATTGTTCTTTTACCTCACTGGGACTGAGTACTGTATACATATTGTCCACTGTGTGAATTTTTTTACTAGCAGTACTATTTCAAGCGCTACAGTTATGTTTTTAAAATGCTAATACTAATAGCGATAAGAAATATAAAAGAAAATACTTTTTGCAGAACCATCTACATGTAAACAAAATTAATAAACTAAAATAAAAGTAGCCATGGCACGAACGTAAATGACTCTCTGTACCTTTAAACACAAACCCTCAGGCTCTTCTCCTTTGACATTTAATAATCATGGTATAAAAATTCCTCAACTCTTAACCAAATCTTTGCCTGACTTATTAATAGATCCAGATTTGATGTTTCTGGAACTGGAAAGTAATTTCAAAATAATTCTAGTATTTAATTCTATTAATCAGTTTTACTTTCTTTCTTGACCAGTTGTGGAAAGTTGTCAGCCATTACTGTTGGTTGTGGTTCGGTCCAGACCATGACTGTTGAGTTGGCTAATAGTTTAGTGATGGCTGTCACGGTACACTTGATAATACATGCAGATGCACCAGCTCTGCATCTGTATTCAGAGCTACACCTTCTGAAGTTGTTCAAACTCTTTATTTTTACATTTTTGAAAATAAAGACTGCAAAAGAATGGATACATGCATTTCCCTGAATTAACAGAGTGCAAACTATCAAATGGCTGCTCTATGGTAGCCAGCCACCATTTGACCTAGGGAATGTTAAATCAATTTGCAATCTAATAGCAAATGAATATATTAAAGAGACTTTCAATCTGATTCCCTCATATTAATTCTTGTCATGTTCAAAAAAGTTTTAAAATAGCTTATTCATTTAGCACACAGATTATGACTACTCCGGTAATAATCCTTTAAATGCATGATTTAAAAAAGCAAAAGTCAACACCCACACCCACACACTCACTCATGCAACCCTCCCTTTTATTTCTCCTTGTTGAGCAACGCACTGATGTGTTGAGTTAATGTCTCAACTGGCCTATCCAACATCAGTAAACTATATTCATATACACTTCCATCATCCATTTCATACTCAAGGTTATAGAAGTTATGTTCTGTAAAATAATGAGGTCTTCCAATGATGGTTTGTGAAGTAAACTTTCAAGGCACAAAAACAGAAGAAAAACAGAAGTATCGTTGGATGCTTATTACACTAAATGATTGCTTTGTGTAAGCCGACTTTAGTTTCTGCTGAATTCTTTTTCCTATATGACTGGATATTTGGCTCATATACCCACCTCGTGTGGCTTCAGAATGACTGTGAAATACGTCAGGTTTGTCAAAAGGATCTAGGAGAGGAACTGGGATAAGTGAAAATAAATAACAAAGGAACAAACAACAAGATATTAAGTAAATTTTTTAAACAAATATTCATTAAACGGAAACTGCTAACTAACATCACCAAATTACAAATAATCACAAGTCAAGGAGCCCTACCAACTTCCAGGTATTGTGCAGTTTCTTGCCAGCCAGTTTGTGGTACCTAAGGGTTTTAGCCATTCTGCATGTTTCAAAAAATTATTATTAGCAACAATATTTACCATTTTCTAGGAGACAATTTCTTGCAGATTTTCTCAATTTTTCACACATCTCATCAAGTATTGCTATACAGAGAAATAATCAAAGAATTATAGAAGCAAACATGAGACCAGTACCTGCAGCAGATACTGAAAACGTATTCAACACACAAAACATCAATTTTATTCTTTAGTGGATAATTAAAATCGGTAATTGTTAACAAGAGTGACACACCCTCCGGAGGCTAAGTCCCAAAATGAGGGCGTCTTGCTATCCCAAACACCTAAATTAACCTTTCCTACCTTCTATTTATTCCCTAGGGTGTTGTCGACCTAGTCTCTAAGTGGTGATTTGTAGCAGACATTTTCGTCATTT